TTCCCATACAAATTATATATTGTTTTTTTCAGGACAAAAAGGGCTTTCTTTACATGTTATTATTTCTATCATGTCATATAATTTAATTAAAAAAATAAAATATGGTGACATTTTTTTAAAAACTATTTTTTTTTTTTTACTTTTAATTGAAAAATCTTTTACTCATCTACAAAAGCTAATTAAAAAACTGCTGTTGTGGTTTAAATTCAGCAGACAGCAATGTTTTCTCTCAGGTATGAAGACAAGGAATGGACACAGCAGAAATACGAGCTCGGAGGGAAGTACTCATTCACACAAGTGTATGGCAGAATACTACACCTAATTTGAATGGGGAAAACACGGATCTTATAACACAGTTCTGTACACATCCAAAAAGGGGTTGTCTTTACATAATACAGTCATGTCCTGTCAATTGCATATTCAAAGAACTTAAGGCACATTTGGCATTAGCTGGTCAAGAGATGTTACTTGATTAACCCCTTAAGGACGGAGCCAAATGTACACGTTGTGAACAAAACAAAATGTAAACAAAACCTGGCATTTGCGCTACATGTCTGTCCAACCGTAATTCACCTCTTTCATAGTAAATGCACCCACCCTTATTATATATCATTTTATTCAGGGGAAACAGGGCTTTCATTTAATATCAAATATTTAGCTATGAAACATAATTTAATATGAAAAAAATGGGAGAAAATACGATTTTTTTTATTTTTTTAGTTCTACATGACAATTTAACGGTCAATGTCATAATACTGTTTGCTTTTACTGCAATAAATACACATATTTGTATTCAGTAAAGTCTCACGTGTAAAACAGTACAGGTTTTATGGCGTTTTGGGAAGTTACAGGGTCAAATATATGCGTTACATTTGAGTGAAATTCGCCAGATTGGATTCACGTTGCCTTTGAGACTGTATAGTAGCCGGAGATAAATTTACACCCGTAAGCGTACCATTTGCAATAGTAGACAACCTGAGTACCAAATGGGGTATATCAGTCTTTTAGTAGCCATTTGGTCACAAACACTTCCATTAGGATTAAGCGTTAGTATTTGTTTGTGTGTGAAAAATGCAAAAACGCCAATTTTGGCCAGTGTTTGTGACTAAGTGGCTACTAAAAAAGACTGGACATACCCCGTTTGCAATACTTTGGGTTGTCTACTATTGCAAATGATATGCCATCATAGGGGTAATTTTCATTCTTGGGCTATCATAGGGTCTCAAAGGCAATGCACACAATCTGGCAAATTTTAATGTGAAAAATCTGAAACACAAGCCTTATATTTGACGCTGTAACTTTTGAAAACACCATAAAACCTGTACATGAGGGGTACTGTTGTACTCGGGAGACTTCACTGAACACAAATATTTGTATTTCAAAACAGTAAAAAGTATCATAGCAATAATATTGTCCGTTTAATGCTGTTTGTGCGTGAAAAATGCAAAAAACGTCACTTTTACTGGCGATATCATCGTTGTAATACATTTTACTGTTTTGAAACACTAATATTTGTGTTCAGCGAAGTCTCCCGAGTAGAACAGTACCCCCCATGTACAGGTTTTATGGTGTCTCGGAAAGTTATAGGTTTAAATATAGTGCTAGCAAATTAAATTCCCTTTACTTTCGGCATGGGTTGTCATGCAGGTCCTGCTAATTGTAATTAATTAAGATACCTAATTATGTAAAAATATTACATAAATATATATGTAGAATCAATATATGTATATATATACGTATGTGTATATATATGTATATATCTATAATTTTTTTTAAATATTTTTATTTATATATAGGTATATATATAGTGATATATACGTATATATTTATGTGTATAAATATATATATTATTTCGTTCTATGTGTATTTTGATATATATATATATATATATTAATTTCACAATACAGTTAGAACGAAATAACACACATCTATATATTTTTAATTATTTATTTTTAATTATTTTTGTAATTTTATTTTTTAACGTATTTACATTTTAATTTTTTTTATAATATATATAAATATATATATAACAATAATTATATATATATTTAATCAGTATCAGTGTACGTGTAATTTGATAATATATATATATAATTATATATATATATTAATAGTAAAATACACCTAGACGGTGTACATGTGTGTATGTATATGTGTATATATATACTTTGATCATATATATATAATATATATATATATATATATATATATATGATCTAAGTATATATTATTTATTTTTTTACACTATTTATTTATTTCATTTTTATTTTCAGCCAGCAGGGGGACCACCTGTCATTACAGGCAGCCCCCCTGCCGGCAATACAGAAGCCAGCTATCCCCGGCCATGTGATTGTGGGGTGCTCGCTAGGACCCCACTCTCACACGGCCGGGGGGCTTCCTGGAGGACGGTTGTGCCGAGGGGGGCTCCCTGGGAGTCCCCCCCACCGCGATCGCCGGCGTGGGACCGCCGGCGACCGGGTAAGTACAGAAAGACCGGAGGGCGTACTATTACGCCCGGCGGCGTTTAGAGCCGCCTATTAGAGGACGTAATAGTACGCCCTCCGGTCTTAAGGGGTTAAACAAACACTTCCCAGCAAGGTGTTAACAGGATATGCAATGTGGGGGGGGGGGAACAAGTAGAAGATGCAAATCAGGATCAATGTCCAGCTGTTATAATAGAGCATCCTGACTACTCAATCAACTGTGTAATGTGACACAGGATATAAGGGGGAAAGGTGCTCATTAATCCATATCAACTGCTAAATAGATTCAAAATGTTGTCATGAGTTTAAAAACAGCCAGTGTTTACATGCTTTTTTGCAAGTTATAGAGCTATAAGTACAAGTAGGATATTGCTGTTTCAAAATATACATTTTTAAAATTTATTAATAGTGACATTGTAACAATGTTATCTGTCATAAATCTCTGAAAAACACCCCACATGTACACATTTTTTTTTTTTAAAGTACACATCCCAGGGTATTCATGTAAGGATATTTTGACACTTTCTATGCAGCCATTTTACCACCAGTATTTGTCAAACTTTGCATAGGTAGTTTATATTTTTTTTCACATACATTGCAATTCAGGTATAAATTCACAGATCCTGTTATGTGTTGCTGCCAAAAAACACACTAATATGTGTTCAGCAACATCTCCTGAGTTTAGTAATACCACCCATGCATAGGCTTGTCAGGTTGTTAGGGGGCTAAAAGCCCACATTTGGCAGGTGCGCATATATCCACTTTCCAACTTGGAATTTTGATATGTAGTCAACCAGCAAACATGTCCTAATTGGGACATTTTTGAAGCCGGCCAATGTATTTTACCCCGATCAAACCATATATTTTTGAAAAGTAGACAACACAGGATATTTCAAATGGTGGTATTTAAACACTTTTCATGCACTGAATTTAATAGCCTTTGTCAAACTTTTGGGTAGTAATTTCTTTTGTGTTTTTTTCACATACATTGTACTTTAGGCATGAATTAACAGATCCTGTTATATGTCACTGCCAAACAACAACCCAATATGTGTTCAGCAACATCTCCTGAGTGTAGTGATACTACCCATGCATAGGCTTGTCGGGTTGTTTGGCGGCTGAAAGGCCACATTTGGCAGGTGCGCAAATCCATTTTCCAACTTGGAATTTTGACAACCTGCGCACATGTCCTATTTAGGCCAATGTATTTTACCCCCATCAAACCATATATTCTTGAAAAGTAGACAACCCAGAGTATTTTAAATGGTGGATTCTACCACCAGGCTTTGAAAACCTTTGGGTAGTAATTTGTTTTGTGTTTTTTTTCACACGCATTGTACTTTAGGCATGAATTCCTGTTATGTATCACTGCAAAACAACACCCCAATATGTGTTCAGCAACATCTCCTGAGTACAGTGATATCACCCATGCATAGGTTTGCTGGGTTGTTTGGGGGCTAAAAGGCCACGATTGAGACTTGTACATGTCAGTTTTTCAACTTGATATATAGGTATGCTTGGCCTATTTTCAGTTTGGCATATTTTTGCATCCCCAGTTAATGTTAACATCATGAAAGTATATATTTTTATAAAGTAGACATGCCAAGTGAAATGGAAAAATCAATCAATACATTGATTATTTCTTTGTGTATCTGCCCCTGGCCAAATCAGTGAAACAGTGCGTGCACGCTCCCTGAAGTAATTCACACCAGACACAGGTTCCAGGTTGTTGAATAACTTGAGGAAAGTTTATTCAGAGGGGACGGCAGGTCCCTTTTAAAGCAAAATTACATCATAAGCATTGTCAGAGATAACATGGAATAATACATCAATAATTGGTTAAGTGTTAAGTGTTTTATTCAAAGCACGTCCTACTGGGTGTGCCTTCTTATGTCATTACTGTCGTCATGAAGTTCTCCCCCCGGATTCCAGCGCCATCTTGAAAATTAGAGTGTTTGGTCGATGGGTGGGGTACTCCTGAGTGACATCTAGTGGTCAGTTTAGTAATTTATTGAGTATAACTAAATGGAGTAAATAGACATTTTACTAGCTAAAAATATGTCAATATTTCATTTCCACAACAGTCCCCCCTTAAAATGACTATTTACCATAACAACTGCTACTGTCCCTAATATGTCCCTAGCTGCCTGCAGCTCATCTGTCTTAACAAGCATCGAACACTTCACTCCGTGGGTAACCCGCAGCGGCTAGTCCACCACATCTCGGCACGTGAGACTCGCCTGTAGAGACAGACGCTTTCCCTATGCTATCCCTATGAAAATGCAGTTGTCTGTCTGAATTGGTGGGATTGGAGGGGTGTATGTGGTGTGTCACATTCTAGGTCAGTGACGTCTTAGTGTAGTAAAGTAGGGGTTATGTTGTCTATAGTCTTCCCTACTGTCTTCTGTAAATACTTTTGTATGCAAGGTAGTACACAACAAGTTAGGATTAGAAAAATGATAAACACTATAAGGACTGCTGTCCCAACCTGGAATAGGGTTCTCTGCCAACCATTCATCCATCCAAACCACCTATCCCACACGTTAGTGACCCCTGAGTTGCGTCTTAGTTCATCTGAAAGGCTGTCCAGTTTTCCTATGGCCAAAGTTACTTTTCCATTGGGTCCAGTATTATCTGGAATAAATGTGCAGCAGATCATAGTCTCGGGGAGGATTTTACATACGCCCCCCTTTTCTGCTAGAATCATATTCAGAGCCATTCTATTTTGAAATGTCATTTGGGTGGTAGCTTGCAGTTGTTCTGCTAGGCCCTATAGGGCATCTCTAGTATAGTTAACAAACCGCTGTTGGTTGTAATAGATATAATTAATCCAATTAACATTCTTATTGACAGTGATTAATGGAATCAGGGATTCAAAGCCAGCGGCAACCTCATCCCTAGCTTTAAATTCGTTGGGTACCCCCCTTGGCATCAATATAAACATGTGGATCAAAGCTACCACGGATTGGGGGCTTCCCTTTTGACTCTGGAGTGTGTGTGAGATCAAATGTATTATGATGGCCATCCGGGATAATATGGATAGGCATGATGGCCTTGGTCAGTGTGCACTCCCCCCACCACAACCCTGTTAGCTGGGATCTCAGTTGCTTATCACCACACAGCCAATAAATATTCCCAACTGGTTTTGCATGATTCGTTAACAATGCTGCGGGGGGACTATGGTAGGTGGAACAATAACCAGATGGGAATTTACCCACAAATGTACCCGTGTTTTTAGGTATTGTGTAGCAAGTGTAATTACCTGGGTATACCGTGACTCCATCAGGTGGTCTAACGTGTCCCTGGGTAATCGGGTAGACCTTCTTCCATGATTCACACATTGAAGAGTTAGTGGTGGATTGTGCATAAAGGCTTAACCATGTCATGCAAAGTCTTGATGTGAGATTTTAGTGGGTTAATAGTCATATGTGTAGTTCCTACCCAGTCAGATGAGTTAAGCATGTCTTGCAGGTAGAATGTCCCCAACTTGTTATATGAGTCACCGCCCTTCCAGTACATGCCCATTACATATTCTTCTGCATCTCCTGGACTGGGGTGTGCTATGTTTAGGGTAAGTTTGATTGGGGTTGACTTAAGGTCATTCTAGAGAGTAGTGATTTCCCATCTTTGTCAATTCTGTCTAAGGCATTCTGAGGTCTATATCCCCATGATCTACCTGTGTTCCACCCGGCTGCTTTCCAAGAACTACAGGAATGCCCCCATGCACCCCCTGCCACACAGATGTATGGGTCTTTTTTTTCGTCAGGTATGTCTTTGTGTTTATATGTATAGCAGCGCGTTGTGTTTGTGGAAAAGTGCAAACAACAATATCACAAAAATCAAAGGTAAATGTAGCTACATCTGTGTTTGAGGAATTGTACTAAAAGGTGTAAACATGGTTATCTTTGGTTATGGCCACCCGCTGGGCCCCTGTAAAGTTTAGTAGCAAAAGAAAACATAAGAAACACAATGAATTCATGGCTCAGTAGGGACAGCTTCTTCTGGAGCAGGCACTTTCTTGCAATGCGAGGCGTGTATCCATGAACTTTTTCCGGCCAGTTTTACTGAGGTAGCCGTGATTAGCAGCACTTGGTAAGGACCATCAAATCTTGGCTCAAGAGTGTGCTTCCTGAGGAATTTCTTGACCATAACCCAGTCACCTGGAAGCAACTTGTGTGTACCTGTATTTGGCTCAGCATCTGGAATAGAAGAAAACACTTGGGCATGGAGTTTGGTCAAGGCATGAGAGAGAACAGTTAGCATCTGACTGAATCTGAAGCTGTCGGGGGAAATAACAACCTAACCTTGGTGCTGTACCGAACAAGATCTCGTAGGGTGTGTGGCGAAACCAACCTCGCCACTGTGAACTGGAGAAGCCTGGTTGCTCGCCTGCTCCCTTTGGACTATGGCCCTGCAGGTTAAACCGTTTATTTCCCCTGCAGAAAGGCTTATTTGTGTGATCTGAGTGCCATTCATCTAATAATGTGCACTCAGATCCCAGATATCTGGGGATATGTGAAATGTCTGTGTGTTATGTGTAAATGTGACTTTATGTATTTTAAAGTGTTTTGTATCTTTTTGCAACCATGTGCTTAATGGAGTCTTGTGTCTATCCTGGGAGATAATTGAATTACTCTCCAGGATAGAAGACTCTAAAACTGGTTTGGGCCAGAAAGCCATGCTTCATTTAGTCACAAAGGACTTTTTACCAACTTTTGAACCCCTTGTCTGATTTGTGCCATTTTTGAATATGTTGTTCCCCTGAATGGATTGATTGTGCATATGTAATTTTATGTGAATGTGATGTATGGTTTTAGAGTTATGAAAGTTGGGTAGAAAGTATGTTTTAACTGTATGTGTAATTGAGTTTCCTCTCAGGATAAGGGGAGGGAATATGTAGGATGTAACTGTGATGTGATTGGTTGTTTTATACCTCCCTGTGGGCGGTCCTGTATGTGAAAGGCTGTAATAAAAACCAGGCTGGGTGTGCCAGCACAGGAGTTCCTGTTTAACCCTCAAAGTGAAGT